CACTGCGTGTCCTAATTCCCCACCCATAAAACCCTATAACCACTGTTTTCGTGGGAAAACATGCAGGGAGGAGGGATTGATGAGTGGGCCTACATAAGCTTCTGCCGCCCATTTGCGCATTAGAAGATTTTAAATAAAGTGGTAACTTGGTCTTCCCTAGGACCGATAATAAGGTTGTGATAGCGTCACTCTAGTACTGTCTTAAAGGTAATCTCACCCATGTGACATCCGAAAGCCTTAATCAAATACAGCCTAGGAAATAAACTACGAACGAGGCCGTGTGTGGCACGTGTAGAACAGTTGTTTGTGTTTGTCAATCACCATGTCCGCGCTCTCCTCTGGTCGCCTGTACTTTATTATTCATTAAAGCCAGGTGGATGCTGAAGGTGAGGACAAGATAAATGTAACGAAAGCCTGATTAACTACGTGGAAGTCACTGTCACCGGGCCCAGCCCGTGAAGCGGGGATGGACGTCATCAGTTTTAATGGCCGAACTGTCAGTTGTTTGGTATGCATAGAAGTACTTATACTTAGACACTCTAAAGTAATTCATGCTCAATTCACTAGCCCCGCGCCCACTCTGATCTGGAGCACATGATCGACATCTTCGAAAACGATGGTCGACGCGTCCTTCCGTTCAGACGTCAGAACATTCTAATTGCATGATAGTTCCTTTGTCTGGTCAGAATGCGGTGGCAACACGAGAGGCTAGCCCGGAATGCTTATCGGAAAATTATTTCTTCCCTTAGAAGCCTTAGGCATACTGCCATTAAGGAATACAAATTACCTAAGAATAAGTTCTAACCTACCTCAGGGCTTTGGATCCACATACCCACAACAGCCTTGTACAACCATTCTAATAAACCAGATACGGCGGATCGTGACCAATGTTGCAGCAGGAAGTCGATAAAATGCGGCAGAATCGTTATGGGTAAGGGGTCCGTTGGCAAATTCACAGAAAAGCGACATATCTCCATGAGTTTGCGAAGAAAGCGGGCGGCCAGAAACCGGGTCTCGTCCTCAGCATCACTCACAATGAGAGATAAGAGCGCGAAGAAGAGGGCAAGGCATTCGCTGGACTGGGAATCTGAAACAAAAGGAGAAGTAAAATCTTAGATAACTGACTTCCGAGAAATCACAACAACAAACCTGCCGACAAGGACGGCGTGATCCACCCCTTCATTGTCCACTTAAGTGGACGCTTTTTCCAATTATTGCCGGGTAAATGGAACACCGACATGTAAGTCCAATTACGCATAAATTGAACTCAGCATTACGTAGAAACTGCATGATGACAAGTCAATGATGGGGCCAACTGGTGCTTTAGCCACACTGTTTCACGACAGAGCTACAGAATTCCGCCCTGCACCGGGCATGTGCCGATGCTGGAAACCAGCCAATACGGAGTCGCCGCAGCTGTTGACTGCGATGTCAATTCTCAAAAGAATGGTTGATAAACATTCAACGATTGCTAAAGGAACTAAATTGTCCTGCTCTGCCTTGGGGTTCATTCTCGAGCCCCGCTAGCAACCGCACAGCGGCCAGTGGTCTAGACAGATAGCATTGCTGGCAAAGACGCGGGAGATTAGAATGACAATTTCTGGCTCAGTAGCCGTCCTCGGTCAGTCATACCCTAAGGGGTGCAACATCCGAGGTCCAGACCCGCGACCTCTTGATCAGAAGTCTAACGCTCTAACTAGTCCGAATCCAAGGCCGTATTCATATCTATCGAGGGCTGATTCCCTAGCCTGCATTTATTTCACAACCTCTCCATACAAAAGAGTATACTAAAAAAAGACTCACTTAAAAAAGAATGTGCATTTGTACGCAGAACAGAGCTGGCTGCCACCAGGGCCATAATACGTGTCTTGGCCTCCACACGGGAGCACGGATCTAAATAGACAGCTAAACGGCCGCAGAGATTATCGCAACTGCTGAGG